CGAGACGCGCAGCGCAACGCCGCCCGCTCCCCACCGCCCCTGTCGGCGCCAGCAGCACCAGTGCCACGAGCCCCCCCCACACCTTGCCACCCTCCCAGCACAACAGTAGCATCCCCTTCCTGCCCGCTCCCTCCTCCTCCTCCTCCTCCTCCTCCTCCTCCTCCTCCTCCTCCTCCTCCTCCTCCTCCTCCTCCTCCTCCTCCTCCTCTTCCTCTTCCTCCTCCTCCTCCTCCTCCTCCTCCTCCTCCTCCTCCTCCTCCTCCTCCTCCTCCTCCTCCTCCTCCTCTTCCTCTTCCTCTTCCTCCTCCTCCTCCTCCTCCTCCTCCTCCTCCTCCTCCTCCTCCTCCTCCTCCTCCTCTTCCTCCTCCTCCTCCTCCTCCTCCTCCTCCTCCTCCTCCTCCCCCTCCTCCCCCTCCTCCCCCTCCAACTCCTCCTCCCTGACCCATCTTGCCCCCCTCTGTCCCCCCACCACCTTGCAACCCTCTTCTTCCACTGCTCCCCCTGCTCGCTGCCTCCCTCCCTCTCCTCTCCCCACCGTTCATCTCGCCCTCCTTCTTCTCTCCACCACGCGCCATCATCTGCCGCCCTCTCGTCTTCCTCCCCCTTGCTGCCTTTCTGGGTTGCGTTTCAGCTGGCCCCGCTGCTGCTTCTGCCCCGGCTGCTGCTGCTGCTACAGAGGGCGTTGCTGCATCTGCCTCTGCTGGTGCTGCTGCAATGTCATCGACGCTGCTCCATACAACACTCTCATACGCCCTGCCGGAGGTGTCTGGATGTGGGGATGGGTGGGTGGATATGGGGGATTCCCGTGCGTGGATAGGAGAGTCAACTGTTGAGTGGTGCACAGGGGTGACGAGACACGAAGCACACTCGTAGTGTGCATAACTTGCTTGCTCTCTCTCTCTCGAATGGTCCTTCATTGGATGTAGCATGCAATACATCGGTGTAGTTTATATATTCAGGCACAGGCATGCAAGAGAGCTACCTAAGGCAGCTCAAAGTCCAGCTCGAGAATGTGCAGAAGGTCGCCCGTGTCAAGGGGCTCATCCTGGTAGGCACAAGTCGGTGCCTCGGCCTTGAAGGCCGCCAGGGTCTTGGCGCATAGGGCGTTCGCCTGGCCCCTCTGCAAGGCAATGGACCACCTTTGGCGGTACGAATGGAACAGTTTGTTGACTCTCGTGAAGAAGGCTCGGCATTATGGAAGCGCTTCGCCGCCAGGTTAGCACATAGGCGCATGAACTCAAATACTCCGGGGGAGCAGCACCCGTAAGTCTCTACTGCCATTGCTATGAACCCCACCCACTGCTGCCGGTTGCGGTACTTATGCTCTTTCGCCCTTGCCGCCGCCCTGGCTGCCCACCCCACTCCCCGCCTGGCCGTCTCGTCCTGGAGGAAATGGGGTCGTGACTGCTACGTCAATGAGCCACACGGCTCCTGAGTCGGGGTGGCGTATGGCGAGGTCCGCCTTGAGCCCTCCACCGGTGTGTAAATTGTTGTCTCCTTCTGGACCGCGAAGCCCGCCTCCGTCGCGATCCGCTCGCACTCATCTCTTAGCGCATGGTGGGTGCCCGTTCTGCCCTTCCCCGTTCCGCACCGAAGTAGGTGATTAGGTAGGCGTGGGTCGAGTATCTCCACTTGGTCGTTGCAGTCACAGAAGGCCGGGACGAGCTGGGGTATGCCAAGGCGGAAAGCAGCCATAGAGGTGAAGTAGTGGGCTGGCAGGCGGTGCGGTCGGTTGATAGGCAGGGACATGAGCCAGTCCTTTGCCCCTGGTCCTGTGAGGGACTGTAGCCGCTGGGTATGGCCGAGCAGGGGGTTTGGTGCCATCACCCTGCTCTCCTGCACCGCTGCAGTTGCCCTTGTTGCATGGACGTGGAGGGAGATTGCATGCTGAAGTTTCAAGAAATCCCCCCCCTCCCGCACTTTCTATAGAATGCCAATTGCCTCTCGTGGCAGGGTCTCCTCCGCGGCCGCCAAACGGAGGGGGAGCTGGGAGCGGCTTGAGGCGTCAGCGGAGAAGAGGGGGAGGAGAGCCAGCACTTGGGAGTGGGAGGGAGAGGAAGACGCGGAGAGGAGGTGAAAGGCGGCCGCGGTTGAGGCTAGGTAGCTCGCGAACCGCTCCAAGGCGGGGTCGGCAATGCCTAGGCCTCCAAGTGTAGGTGGGAGGGAGGCCTGGCGCCAGACCCGCAGCTGCTCAGGGCAGTGGCGTGGCAGAGGGATGGCGGCGGATGCTAGGAGGGTGTGGAAGTTTCCTTCCCCCCAGGAGTCCCAGTCAGCGAGGGGAAGGGAGTCCGGGGGGGTAGTGCGGAGGATGTAGGAGATACGGCGGCTGATGCAGCGCGTAAGAAGTAGGAGGCATACTTGCGGCTCCAGCTCGGAGAGGAGTGCCGATGGCTCCACAGCCTCGGCCATTCGGGTGCGAAGAAACGTGGCGCAGTCCTCGGGCGGACCCACGGGGCTGCCCAGAACCTTGAGGCCAGAGGGCGACCATGGCACTCCTGACGGCAGGTGCTGGAGTTGAGATGACGTGGGTGACCAGGCCGCACATTTGGCGGCGTTGTGGTGGAGGCCGAGTGGGGCTAGCGCCGCGGTGAGGCCGTTGAAGGCGGCGGTGCAGTCGGGTCCAGAGCCGAGTAGTGTGATGTCGTCTCCATAGGCGAGAACGACGACTGTGGGATTGGCGGCGGCTACTGCCCTTAGTGCGGGGTGGATTGTGGCGGCGAAGAGAAGGGGGCCCATGGGGTCCCTTTGGCGTACTCCCCTCGAGGAGCAGAGGTTGTTGGCATGGAAGGCGGCATCGATGATAAGTTCGGACGGCACGCCATATGAGCTTCGGGTGAAGGGGACTAGGAACTCCAAGGGTGAGTCACGGAGGCTTGGATTGAGTCAGGTTCCTTGGCCAATCGCAGCAGGGGGGTCAGGAGGCAGGTGGCGGGCGAGTGGTGTTTGGCGAGAGTCACGGAGCACCTGGATGTCCCAACTGCCAATTTCCGCAAATTTCGCATTGTCACCAGCTAGCTGCTTCGGTGAGAAATGTGGTTGGGGCGTTCTTTCTGGCGGGAGTCGATTGACTTGGTTGGCTCGGGGTGCAGGTCTGGCAGCCGCGCGGGTTGGAATTCGGGGGGAAAATTCAGATGCGCTTCGGCGAATTTGTCGACCCCCACCTTAGTGAACATCCTCCTCCACCCCTTGTTTGCCTTGTTCCTCGGTTTCTGAGCTTGGGATACCCTCCCTCGAGAGGGTATAAGATTGGTCACCCAAGGGCTCATTCCTCAGTTCCTCGCTCACCCTCTCCTCTCCATCAGCCCTCTCCTCCGGCCTTTGCCCGTTACACGCTGCGGCTCCCCTTAGTAGGTTTTCCTCGGCGATTAAGCGCCTCGCAATTTGGCCATAGCCCCCTCCTCTTGTCTGGGGGCTCTCGCGGCCTCCCCTTCCGCGCCCGCCTCCACGTCGTCCCCTGGAGCTGCTTGCGTGGCCCCTCGTGTGCATCAAGTTCGAGCGTTGCAGTTGCGGAGACCACCACTGAAGTTGATCAACAGCCCGCCTGGGCGATGCCGGGCTCGCATTCGCGAGGGCGGGAACAGTCCCCATCCCGGGCACACGGGGAGCGTCGCAGTCCGTCGTCGTGGCGTCCCGCCCAGTCGCCGGCGCTGTGGCCAGAGGTGGCTCGTGCGTCCGAGCGGTCTGCCGTGACCGCGCCTGTTCCGTCCCGGCCGTCATCGTCGCTGCAGGCATCCCCCCGTCGATCGTCTCCGCGCCAGCAGTCTCCCTGGCGTCCCTCCTCTCCCCAGCGGTCTCAGCCAGCGAACAATCATGGGCGACGAAATCAGCCCCGGCGCTATTGGCGCGCGCATCATCTCCAGCAGCAGCCGGCTGATCGTGCTCCAGTGGCGGCCGCCGCTGCCACGGCAGCGGGGACGGATGCCGCCACGGCGCGGCTGTTGTGCGGGCGCTAGCGGCGCTTCCCGATGGTGCGATGGCGCCAGGCCGCGTTCCCGCGCCTGCGCATGTGCGTCAGATACCCCCTCTGCTTGATTTGTCGCCGAATCCCCCAACTGCAGATCCCGTGTCATTTGCCGCACCGCCTCCCGCTCCGCAGCTGCCACAACCTCCTGCGCCTCCTCCTAGCGTTCCATTCCCTCTGCACGCGGGTCCACCGGGGGTGTGGGATGTTGCTCCCGGCGGTCAGGCCCAGTTCCATCCCTTCCACAACGGGGGTCTTGCGCCACCCCTTCTTCCTGGTCAGCTGACGCTTCATCCGGCGCACCTCCCGCAGCGGCCCGCGCCGCCTCCTGCGCCTCCGGTTCTTGTGCCTCAGCTTCCCGGGTTTGAGTATGCCTCCGGGCGTGCTCCGTTTCACCCACCTCTTGTCCCCGGCCCCATGCCTGCAGCTCCACTTGCGGTGGTGGGAGCAACAGAGGGGATGGATCTTGATGCTGGTGAGTCGGCCGCCGCGCCGATGCCTCAGGACATCCGCCCTCCGCGTCGTCGGTCCGTAGGGGTCCGCTTGAGCTCTCGCGTGATCGTGGAGCGGATCCGGGCGCGGACCCGTGCCCCTCCTCGCTCGATGCAGCTGTCGAGTAAGGTGCTTGTGCGCTTGTGGCACAGGCGGGCGTTTGTTGAAGTGCGCTTGTGGCACGGGCGGGCGTTTGTTGAAGTGCGCTTGTGGCACGGGCGGGCATTTGTTGAAGTGGTGACGAACGTGCTGGAGGCCGCGCTGGGGGCGATGGAAGACTGCCCAGCTGCGCATTGTAGGATGGATGCTGATCGGACTGAGCGGTGCCAGCTTGCAGTGCGTGACCTGGTGCACGAGCTGGAGCGGACGTTGGTTGGGCCCGGTGGGGAGTTGGGCTCGGGCGTTGGGGAGGCATGCGTCCTCGAGGAGGTGGGGATGAAGGTGCAGTCGGCATCAGCTGTAGCTGTTGTAGACGGCTGCGTGTCCGCACTCCGCCTGGGCGATAAGGTTGTCGCCAGCGTGCTTCAGCTGGCGGGTGTGACAGAGTTTGTGTAGGCCGCTCGCGGCGGTGGTAGCATAGCGTTTGCGGCCCGCTTGGGCCCTTGATGGTGGGCAGGCCGGTCATGTTTTCCTACGGTGATCTAGCCTGATACTTGTATTCTATTGTTGTCATCTCGAACGGTCCTTCGTATTAGTATCATCAAGGTACAGACCTGGGTACTAAGCTAGTCTAGGCAATCAAACGACAAACAGGCAAGCCAACAACCAAGAAAACACACAAAGGTACCACTACTCATCCCACTCCTACCCCTTCTCCCCACGGCCCTACTGGCCTGTGGGGTCTTCCAGCAGCTGGTACAACTGCTCCTCACCCAAGCTGCCAAACGGGCCTTGCAGGTTAAGCTCATCCGCGGCAATGGCCTCGTGGGTCTTGTCGCGAAGGGCATTGGCCTGGGCGCGCTGGAGTGTCACACTCCAGCGCTGACGGTACTCCGTAAGGAGCCTGGCCACCTCCCTTGACTTTGGCGCAGCGTTGAACCGCCGCTTGCCCGCGAGCTCGGCGCAGCTGCGGAGGAAGGCGTGCACTCCCGGGGACGGGTAGCCGTACGTCTCAACCGCCATGGCATGGAAGCCCACCCACGCGTTCCGCCGCGCGTACTTGTCTTCTTTCTTGGCGGCTTGCATCCTTGCAGCCCACCCAGGCGCCTTCCGCGCAAACTCGTCCTGGTGAGAGACCGGGTCCGTCACGGTGATGTCGCACATGTGGACTTCGCCGGTGTCGGGATGGCGGATGCAAACGTCTGCTTTGAGGGTTTCGACCGGTGAGTACACTGTGGATTCCTTGTGCACCGTGTAGCCTGCCTCTGCTGCGATCTTCGCACACTCATCCCGAAGAGCATGGTGAGTGGCAATCCTCCCCCCGCCTTTCTCACAACGCATGAGGTGGTTGGGTAGGCGGTGGTCAGGGAAGGTCGTGCGGTGGCGGCAGTCGCAGCGCCGAGGGACGGGAAGGGGGAGGCCTAGGCGGAAGGAGGATGCAGTGGAGTGCTGCGAGGGGCCGAGGCGAAGAGCCGGGACCAGGGGGATGGCTAGCAGCCAATCTCCCGCCCCGGGGCCGAGGAGTGACTGCAGGCGTTGGGTGTGGCCGTAGAGCGGGTTCAGGGGCATCTCCCGCGAGGCATCGAGCACCTCAATATAGCGGGCTGTGTGGACGGCCAGCGACAGGGCCTGCTGTAGCTTCGGGCCATCCGTCCCGTGTCGGCCGGCCTGTAGAGCTTCTAGTCCATCTGGGGGCAGCGTGGCTTCTGCCGCTACGAGGCGCCTTGGCAGGACCGAGGGTGAGTTCGCGTCTGCATCTAGTAGCGGCAGCATCTGGGCGATTGAGGGGTGCAACGTGTCGCCAAACGAGCGCAGCAGGTGGGCCGTGGAAATGACCGAGGCTAGGTAAGCGAACACCCCTTCCGTGGCTGGGTTGGTGATGCCGAGGCCGCCCAGCGTCACGGGCAGGGCGGCCTGCCGCCAGATTCTCCTCCGCTCTTCTTCCTCCCTGGGTATCGTCGTGTGTGCCGCCGTCAGGTAAGTGTGTAGCAGCTGCTCCCCCCACTCTGACCAGGTGTCCGCTGGCAGCACCTCCAAGGGCATCGTTCTGATGAGGTAGGAGGCGCGGCGGCTCACGCACCGTGTTAGGAGTAGCAGGCACAGCTGCGGGTCCATTTGTGACAGTAGCGGAAGTGGCTCTGCTGCTGCTGACAGGCGCTCCTGTACCAACGCCGCGCATCCCGCTTGCGGGCCTATTGGGCTCCCCAGGACGCGGATCCCGTCCGCCGAGAAAGGTACATGCGGCGGAAGAGAGGCGGGGTCAATGTGCGCAGCCGACCATGCTGCGCACTTCTCGGGGTTGTGTTCCAGGCCTAGGGGAAGCAGCGCCCTGGTGAGGTGATTGAATGCCTCTGTGCACGCCTCAGCTTCCCCCAGGAGCGTAATGTCGTCCGCGTAGGCGAGGATGACGACTTCTGGGTGCGCCTCCACCGCGGCTACCAGGCACGGGTGAATGCTGGCGGCGAAGAGGAGCGGGCCCAGCGGATCCCCTTGGCGTACGCCGCGTGCGGATTGTAGGGGGGGGGGCATGAAACGCGTGGTCGAGGTGCAGTTCCGAGGGGACACCATAGGAGAGCCGGACCAGGGGCACCATGAATTCCAGGGTGGTCCCCTTGAGGCCTTCGAACACTGCTGCCCGCTCGACCGCATTAAATGCGTTTGCCAGGTCGATTTGTAGCGCCACAGCCCCGTCATTATCCTCCAGGTATGTCCTTGCCGTGTGCACCGCCGCCTCGATGCCTCCTGCTACCGCCACCCCGAATTGCAGCGGTGCGAAGTGATCGTGTGCTCTCTCAGCCGCCAAGAATAGAGCCGCTTTTGCTACTAATCTGAGCAGGCATTCGCCTACTGCTATAGGCCGTGTGCCCCCATGGGGCTTCGTGAAAGCAAGTAAGCGTGACGCAGTGAGGAGTTCTGCTGCTTCCGCGCTGAGTTTTTCGGCTAACGTCGTGTTTGTGAGTGCGTGCAATTGCAGGAAGATGTCCGTATTCCCAACTGCTGCGTCCCTCAGGTGTTCGAAGGTGGTCCCCGAGGGACCAGCGCTCACTCCGTTCGGGCATTTGGCGAGAATGCGTCTGAAGTCGCGTGGAGGGATTGAAGGGGTGCACTCTGTGGTGAAATCCGGCACCCACTCCGGGATGGATTGGCGCGCAGGGGGGTGTCGAGCTGAGAGAGCCCGAAGCACGTCAGTTGAGGGGGGGGAGACTGGCGTGGCCGTGAGGGATTGGAGGGATTTTGCTAGGTTCCCTCGTTTGGCGAGTCCCTCTGCCCTTGCCAGGATGCCTGTGGTGTCTGGCGCATGGCGTGGCTGGGGTGGTTGGGATACTGCGTCAGCCGCCTCGTCGTACAGGCTCCGTCACTGGCCTTGGCGGAACCTTATCAGCCTGGCTCCTACCTTCGACCAATCTGGGCGCTTGGCTGATGAGGTGCGCAAGAGGATGCGCGGGAGGAATATGAGCAGTCTCCAGCCTGCGGGCGAGTTAGGATCTTTTGCGAGGTGTAGCAGCGGGGTGAGAAGGCAGGCTGCGAAAGATTCGCGAAGAGTGCGAGGTGAGTGACGCGCGAGAGGTGGTTGCCTGCTGTTGCGAAGGGGGTGTAGGTCCCAAGTTGCGACATCAGCGAAAAGGTCCTGGCGTTTTTCCAGGTCGCCTGCACTGAACAGGGGCAGGCCTGTGGGTGCATCTGCACTCTGCTGATTGGCCCGAGTTGGGGTGCCATCTGCAATTTGTGCGGCTTGGTTTCCCCCCCCGACTCGGCTCTGTCTTCCAATTCGGATTGCAGATGCGGCTCGGCTCGGTGTTGGAGTTCGGTCCACATCTCGAGCCTGCTCTGCCTCTTCTAACTCGGGGGAGGGACTGGGGCTACCCTCTCTTTCAGGGTTAAATAGAGGGTCACCCACAGAGTTCTCGTCACTCGATTCTTCCCCATCTCTAGCCCTTCCCCTCAGGATCCTGTGAGCAGCCCTCGCGAAGCTACTAGCACCCCGTCGTTGAACCGCAGCGCCTCCTCTACTGCCACCCCAACTCCCTCCTCTTCCTACGCAGATTCCGTGCTGCGCGGAGGCCACCGCTGCAATATTGCGTGTCGATTGTGGCGCTGAGGCGGTACCAAGGCCCCTCCTTTGACGGCCCGCTGGCGTCCGCGGCGGTTCGTTCGGGCGTGATGGACCCCTCCGCGGGTCGCGACCACGCGCAAGAGAGTACGGCGGACAGCGCAGGCCCCCATCCTCAGGCGCCCGCTGCCCCCCGTCTCCGCGCTCCTGCGCATCCATCCGCGTCTGAGCCCGTGCGGCGTCTGGAGCGCGGGCTGTCTCTACCTCATCAGGCGAGCGCGCGCCCAAACTCTCCTGAGTATTCGTGGGCGCCGGCCCGCGTTGGGTCGAATCGTCCGGTTGGACAGCCGCCTCATGAGCGTGGGCGATCGCCGCAGCGCCAGCCCCAGCAGCAACGTTCCCCTCGACGTCGCTCTCCTGGTCAACGCGAGCTTCGCCGCCACGGAGCTGGCGATCAGCTGTCGCCTGCGAGCCCCCGCTCTCCCCGTCACCGATCTCCCCAAGATCGGGCAGCCCAGCGCTCACCGCAAGCGCGATCCCCCACGCAGTGCTCTCCGCGTCGATCTCCGGCGAGGCGGGGGAGGGGTTCTCCTGGGCGACGATGGGATTCTGGGCGTCGCGAGCAATCCCCCCCCCCTCCGCACTCGGCGGGCTCTGGTGGCCGTCAGGGTCGGCGGAATGGAGCGGGTCGCGGCGGAGCTAGTCGCGGGGAGGATCCTGTGGTTGGTGAAGCCGTGAATGTGTTTGCAGCGGCGATGCACCAGGCGCGAGCGACTGGTGAGCCAACTCACGTCCACATCGAGGTGACCAACGGTCATTCTCACGCCCTAGCCCCTGACGTCGCGGCCCCTCTGCGCGCGCCGGTATTGAGCGAGTATCTGCCCGCGCGGGAGGGGAGGGCGCTGTTCCGCACCCCTCGGCAGGTCCCTGGCTTCTCCGCGCAGCCCTTCTTGGGAGGCCGACTTCCGGGCCGGGAGATAGCGTATCAGCGTGAGGCTCCGATTGCACCTCCCCCCACTCGCGCGGGGAGAGACTCCATGCTGACCATGTGCCGGACGCTGAATCTTGCGGAGGCGTGCGAGGTGGTGGCGAACCTGCAGATGGCGGTGTGTGGGGCCATGCGAAACTCTCCGGGCAGTTTCGCTCCAGGTCCCCGAGGATCGTGCGCGACCTGGGCAGAAGCCCTCGCCCCACTATTGGCGCCCGTGTTGGAAGCGCTTGCCGGGGTAGCGCCCTTAGCGCGTACCTTCCCCCGCCACGTGGAGGATCTTCTTGTGGCCGCCCAAGAGGGGACCCCGGTGCGCACGCTTCAGTCGTCGGCGCAGCTCCTTCTGGCGGTGTCAACGTGCATGCGTTCGATGCTTGAGGTGGAGGGGGAGGAGCCGTACATGATGTAGGCTTCCGCCGCATGTAGTATTGCATGTCGCCCTTTTAGGTAGATCCCCTCTCCCTTCCTGTTGATGTGTGCTTGAACCCCGTTATTCCGATGCTGTCGCTTGAAATCCTTGCCACCAGGAGCGCGCGGCCGAAGGCCGCCGGCGCGAGCCACCGAAAATGAACTCCACACAAAATAATGAGGAGAAGGAGGGTGAGACAACCCTTAAATAGCTCTGGAGGGCAGAGGGCAGAGGGATGAGGCAGAGGGCAGAGGGCTAAGGGATCTCTCTCTCTCTCTCTCTCTCTCTCTCTCTCTCTCTCTCTCTCTCTCTCTCTCTCTCTCTCTCTCTCTCTCTCTCTCTCTCGAGCGGTCCTTCGTATTAATAGCATCAAGGTACAGTCATTGGTACTAAGCTAGTCTAAGCTAGTCCTTCTCTCTCTTGAATGGTCCTGGTATTGATTGATGAGAGATACATGGGAAGATGCAAACACATGCAAACCCAGACATAACACTCGGTCTACCTAACTACCTCATTCCCTTACTCCCTCCCGCCCCCTCCGTCCGACCCTAAAGGTCGAACGAGGGCTCTATTTGCTGGTAGAGCTGGCCTTCGCTAAGGGGGGCAAAGGGGCCCTGCATGCCGAGCTCGTCCGCTGCTATCGCCTCGTTGGTCTTGCAGCGGAGGGTGTTGGCTTGTGCTTTTTGGAGGCACACGCTCCAGCGCTGGCGGTATTTCGTCAGCAGCTTGGCGGCCTCGTAGGAGTTGGGGGCTGCGTTGAATCGCAACTTGGCCGCCAGCTCCGCGCACTGCCGCAAGAATGCCAACACCCCGGGCGAGGGGTACCCATATGTCTCTACCGCTAGGGCATGAAAGCCCACCCACGCATTCCGGCGCGCGTATTTCTGCTCCTTCTTGTCCGCAGCTGCCCTAGCCGCCCACCCCGGTGCTCTATTGCAGTTCTCATCTTGGTGAGAAACGAGGTCCGTCACTGTCACGTCGCACATCCAAACCTCTCCCGTCCGGGGATGGCGGATTGCGACGTCCGCCTTCAGGTTTTCAACGAGAGAGTATACATAGGTTTCTTTCTGCACCGTGAATCCCGCCTCTGCCGCAATCAAAGCAATCTCGTCCCTGAGCGCATGGTGAGTCGCAATCCTTCCCCCCCTTTCTCGCAGCGCATGAGATGGTTTGGGAGGCGGTCATCGGGGAGTTTGGTGCGGTAGCGGCAGTCGCAGCGCCTGGGGACAGGTAGGGGGAGGCCCACGCGGAACGCAGCAGCGGAGGAGAGCTGGGAGGGTCCCATCCTAAGCAAGGGTATGATGGGTAGTGCCAGCAGCCAATCTCCCGCACCAGGGCCGAGCACCAACTGCATTCTCTGGGCATGGCCAGAGAGGGGGTTGGGGCGCATCCGCCTTGCCTCGTTCATGACCCTCAGGAAGCGGCGTGTCTGAACCGCCAGCGCTAGAGACTGCTGCAGCTTGAGGCCCTGTGGGTCTGCTTTCCCGGCCTGGAGAGCTTCTAGAGCCTCGGGGGGGAGGGCTGCTTCCGCTGCTGCAAGGCGTGCAGGCAGGGCGTGCGCGGAGCCGGAGGTGGGGTCCATTAGGGGGAGGAGGGCTGCTACATCTGGGTGGAGTGCCTCGGCCAGGGAGTGCAGTAAGTGGGAGGTGCCCACCACCGACGCAAGGTACGCATAGCTCCCTTCAACTGCAGGATTTGTAATGCCAAGCCCCCCCAATGTTACGGGCAGCGCCGCTTGCCTCCAGATTCTCCTCTGTTCTGCGTCACTCCTTGGCAGCATGATATGGGCCGCGTCCAGGAAGGTATGCAGCAGTTGCTCCCCCCATGCCGCCCATTCATCCTCAGGTAGTGCCTCTAGCGGAGTGGTTCTGGCCAGGAAGGATGCTCGCCGGCCCACGCAGCGGGTGAGTAGCAGCAGGCACAATTGGGGGTCCATTTGGGCTAGGAGCGGCAAGGGTTCTGCTGCTGCTGCAAGCCTTTCCCTTACTCTGGCGGCACAGCCATCTGAGGTCCCGATTGGGCTTCCTAATATCCGCAGTCCGTCTGCTGCAATGGGGAAGCTCGGAGGGAGAGAGGCGGGGTCTATGGCGGTTGCAGACCAAGCCTCACACTTCCCAAGGTTGTGCTCGAGGCCTATGTGGATCAGTGCGGCAGTGAGGTGTGTAAATGCCGCCGTGCACGCTTCTACTTCGCGTAGCAGCGTTATGTCGTCTGCATAGGCGAGAATGACGACCCTTGGGTGAGCTAGTGCCGTTGCGGTAAGGTGTGGGTGGATGCTTGCCGCAAAGAGCAAGGGGCCAAGAGGGTCCCCCTGGCGGACGCCTCTAGCATTAGCAGTGGAGCCACGCCGAAGTCATGGTCGAGGTGGAGTGCTGAGGGAGTTCCGTAGGAGAGGCGGACAAGGGGCAGAAGGCTTTCAAGGGACTCGTTCTTGAGCCCCTCGAATACCGCCGCCCTTTCCACCGCGTTAAACGCGTTGGCGAGGTCAATCTGCAGCGCCACCGAGCCCGGGTTCTCCTCCAGGTATGTGCGCGCAGTGTGAATGGCCGCCTCAATCCCTCCAGCCACTGCTACCCCGAACTGTAGAGGCGCGAAGTGTGATCGTGCCGCCGCCCCAGTCAGGAACAGTGCTGCCTTGGCCACCATGCGAAGAAGGCATTCGCCCACGACTATCGGTCGGGTCCCCCCCTGCGGTTTTGTGAAGGCCAAGAGCCGTGAGGCTGTGAGGAGCTCGGTGGCCTCGCTGCTGAGTTTCCCGGCTATAGCTGTATTGGTAAGTGCGAGGAGATGGGCGAAGATGTCTGGATTTCCGAGTGCAGCATCGCGTATGTGCTCGAAGGTTGTGCCTGAGGGCCCTGCTCCCACCCCGTTTGGGAGTTTGGCTACGATGCGCCTGAAGTCGCGCGGCTCTATCGAAGGGGTTTTCTCGGGGGAGAAGGTGCGTATCCATTCTGGTAAGGGCTGGAGTGCTTGCGGGTGTCGTGCTGCTAATGCCGCGTACACTTCGGAGGAGGCAGGTGAGACTGGAGTGGCTTGGAGAGACTGTAGTGACTTGGCCAGGTTACCACGCTTGGCCAGTCCCTCCGCTCTAGCAAGGATGCCCTGAGTGTCAGGTACGTGCAAGCATGATCATTAGGCCCGACCCGACCCGACCCGACCCGACTTGGGCGGGCCAGCCGGGTTCCGGGTCGGGTCGGGTCGGGTCGGAACTTCAAAAAATCCTGGCCCGACCCGGGTATCGGGTGCCGGGTCAGGCGTGACCCGCCCCCGGGTCGGGTCGGGTAGGGGCCGGGTCGGGTCGGGTCGGGCCAGGACCCCATATGCAGGGTAAGAGGTTCTCCTTACTACTGTGCGGTGTTGCACTGATTGAATATTTGTGTAGTATTATTATATGAACGTCCTCCATTTTGTAACTAGACTATGGGGGGTCCCGTCACTATCGATGCGGGCCTGGTAGGCGCGCAGGGGGCCAAGAGAACGCGGGACCAGAGTTTAGTCGCTTGTGAGAGCTAAGAATAACTATTTCTATAGAATCGAATATCTCTGCCTGGTCGCGCTATGTTAAAAAGACCCTTACGCCAACATGGAAACACTAGTAATAATGTTCCTTAACATGGGCGCGGGTTTAGAGAGTAGTAGAGCTTGAGAACGATTGCTTGCTAGCTGCATAGGTATTGCAGATCGAAGTCAATGTCGAGGGAACAAACAAACCCTAGACATTGACTTCGCGATCTGCTTTAGTGCAAATTGTCGAGGGAGGAAAAGTCGGGTCGGGCCAAATACTCGACCCGACTTAGGGCGCGGTACCCGAAACCGGGTCGGGTACGACTTCGGGTCTAAATCTGACCCGACCCGACCCGACCCGGTTTCGGGTGTCGGGTTGACCCGACCCGACCGGGTAAACCCGACCCGACCCGGCCAAGCCAGCGCTTCAAAATGCCTGACCCGACCCGGGTCAAAACCCGGGTCGGGTCGGGTCGACCCGACCCGCCGGGGCAGGATGATCATGCGTGATCGCGAGTCAGCCCATTTTTTTCACGACTTTGCCTACATTGCTCTTCATTCCCACTACGAGCCACCTACAATTACTGCTGCCCGCTCTTGCCCCGCTGCTCCCCAATGGCTTGCTGCTGCTGACGCTGAAATTACTGCACTCCTAGCCAACCGCACTTACAGCGTTGTGCCCAAACCGCCCGGCTGCACTCCTATCCCTTGCAAATGGGTTTTCAAGGTCAAAGAGAACCCGGATGGGTCCATCGAGCGCTATAAAGCCTGTTTGGTCATTAAAGGCTTTAAGCAACGTGAGGGCATTGACTACACTGAGACATTTGCACCCACCATTCGCTTTGCTACGCTTCGCTTGCTCCTCACCCTTGCTACTGCCCTTGATCTTGAGATGCATCAACTCGACATCTCCAATGCCTTTCTCAATGGCGACCTTGACGAGATTAATTACATGACCCAACCACCCGGTTTTGAACTCCCTCCTGCCAACGGCTCTCCTCAAGTTTGCCTCCCGCACAAGCCCTTGTATGGCATCAAGCAGGCTCCTCGGTGTTGGTATAAAAAACTGAAATCGGAGCTTCTCACATTTGGCCTTCACACCTCCGCTGCCGACCCCGGACTTTTCATTGCTGCACCCTCCTCACCTCTTCTTCCACATCCTTCCCACTACTTCCTTGTCCTAGTCTATGTCGACGATCTCATCATCCTTTCCACCACCATCACTCCCCTTACCACCTTCAAGACTTCTCTGTCCACTCGCTTCAAACTTCGTGACCTTGGCCCATTAACTTATTACCTCGGCCTCCACTTAGACCGCGACCGCTCTTCTCGGACCCTCCTCATCCACCAGTCCAAATTTATTTCTGCACTCCTCTCTACCTTCAATCTCAGCCACGCCAACCCCAGCCACACCCCCATGGACTCTAAGCTCCTCCTTCCAACACGCTCCTTATTGCCACCCTCTGAACCCTTCCCATATCCCTCTTTAGTCGGCT